CCCTGTGCCCCGCGGAAGGGCCCTGGGGCTCCCGAAACCCGCACCCGCAGCGCCCAGCCAGCACGGCCGGCAGCACCGCGCCGCTGCCAGCCTTTGCTCCATCCGCTCACCAAAACCAGCGCCAGATCTGTGCTACACAAACCCTAGAACGGTTCGACAACTGAAACCCAAGGGCAAGGAACTCCCTCACACGCACAGAGCATTGCAGAATTTTCCGGCAATTAACTGATTAGTCCTAACATGATAAACCATATGAAAAATCCCCTTTCTATCCTCCCTCAGAGCAAGAGAAATACGCACACGCACTTTCACAGGCATCTCAAAAAATGTAAATCTGTAATTAAATTGCTTGGCTAAACTTATGATTTTGTATCTCTGGTAAAAAAAAAATTGAATTAGAAGGAACACTTCCTTCACTAGGAAATATTAAACCACTATAAACTTGATTTAAGACGAAATGACATCTTGATATGGAAATATATTTCCATCAAACATTTCAGTTAAAACTGCATAATCTGACAGAAAGCAAACATCTCGATAACATGTTCTAAGCATTTTTAAATGCTCCATTTCTCTTGTTGCTCATCACATTATTTTACTAAGTGTAAAGTCAACCACAACCTATTCAGCTCTCAAAGGATATTGTTTCTCCATCCCAATTACCCAATCCAGAGCAACACATGACCATTATCCTCAATCTGCAGATGAAAGCGCTCAGAAAAAGTTATCTGCGGCGTTCCCATGGCGATGCCCTGGTAGAGGAAAGAACAAACCCCAGCTGCTCCCTGACCTCCGTGCTCGGCGGCGGCAGCGTCTCATCTGCTGAGGCAAGGGACTCCTCGGCAGAGCGAGCAACGTGTGCCCTTTGTGCTGCCCACCAGCCCCAGCGGCTGAAAACGCTTCGGCACTTTATTTCAAGGACCCGCAGATGCCAGCCAGAGCCATGTTTAAATTTCCTTGACACACCCCCACACCGAGGAGCCGAAACAGCAGTGCTGAAGGGTTTCGGGCAGCAGCCAGGCTGCAGCCGGGTTTGGAGGGCTGGCCCCGGCTTCCCCTGGGATGTGACCCACACCAACTCCCGCCGCGCCTGCGCTCCGGAGAAGCCCATGGCAAGGCTGGACACCCATGAGCTAGTCCGAACACATATGAGTGTGAGGGAGGACAGCAATGTCACAGACACAGTAAGATCTGTAGGTTACTTTACGCATTTAATTTCTTCTATATCTTTTAACGAACCTCCCTATTGCTGAGACACCTCACAAGCAGCACCAGTGATTCTGAAATTAACACAAAGATTCTGGAAGTACCACTGTATAAAATACACTTTTTTACTTCTATATTTAACAACTCATGCCTTCACCAGCATAGACAGAACATCTGTGTACTCAGATGAAAAAATATATTCCCTTAGGAATTACTCTGAATGTAGTCCAACATTATTATTCAATTATACCCTAAGAAAAACCCAAGTTTTACAACAGTGAACAGAATTAAACTTCCAGGTTGGGGAACAGAATTAAACTTCCAGGTTGGGGGTGGGAAGGGAAATAAAATCTGTAAGCTAAGCTCCCTCCTGCCCCGTAATTCACGCAAATTTTCCAAGACTTCATCTAGGCGTAAGATTTTGCCTTTTTTTTTTTCTCTGAGCTAACGAGGCCAAAAATCTCTGGCCACGAGAAAAGCTCTTCTTTTTAAATAATGCAACAGGGACACTGCAACCAGCACACCACGTACACAGGCAGAGACAGCACCAGCAATAACCCCGTACAGCACCAGCTCCTTGTCCCCAGTGCGTGGCAGCCACAGTGACAGGTTTGGAGGAAAGAGAGATACAAATGAGTGTGACAAACTTGACATTCAAAAAGACAGAAGTGGGTTGGTTTTGATTTTTTTTTTAACGTACCAGCTGATGATTTGTGATTACTGGCAAACAATCCACCTAGAATTAAGGTAGGAGACAAACCTACACCAGCAATATGCTGGCAAGCACCATCACAACAATTCACCGGCCCCCTCTCCGGAACGCCGACATGTCCTTCCCAGAAGGAAGGCTACACTCCCAGATTTTCCTTCTAGCCTAATACACCTCACTAGCACCTACGCCTTCCTGTTCGCATTATGCTTATGACTAACAAAGATTTTCAACTACAGGACTGACTTCGTTTGCCACATTCTGTACCTCAGGAGGCTACACACAGCAAACACTGATCAAAAAGAAAAGCTGAAAGCCTACGTGTGTAAATGTATACACAAGGCTCTAAACTAGGAACAACAGAAACACCAGAGAAAAGTGACTAAAAACCAACAAGCTGTTTCCGCTAACAAGGAGCATCATTCTCCCACAAACCTGCGCAGAGAGCTTTCTTTCTCAACCTTCTCTGTCAAAACATGATCTTTTAGAGCCACCGGCACTGCTATTACTCCATGCCCTGTCCCCATCAGTATACACACTATCTATCACAGAATAAACTGCAACCCACATCTGCCACAATTTACATTTCAATTCAAATGACCCAAGACAAAAACTTCTACACAAAAGAGCCAACGCCAGCAACTCCCCCAAAAAATTGACTAACTCTGTCACAGTACTTCGTATGTTAAAAATAGATACTTGACTTTAACTTTCAGACAAAAGAAGGAAGGGGGATGAAGGACTCCAACTTTGAAAAACACACACATGAAATGATCCGGATTTGATTCTGCAGTCAGCAAATATATACATGAGCTGATCCATATTTGATCCGGCGCTCAGCTTGCCACTCGCAGTCGTTAAACCCGTGAGAACACTTTTTGTTAAAACGTTCAGATGTTACAAATGACTGATTAGAGAGACAAAAACAGTTAGCTTGCAACCCACAGATACTAACTGCAGTTTTACAGCACTTTCTCAACGTCGATCGCTTCTATTATTAAATGATTCCCACAAATATGGCAAAGGTACTGTAAGACAGTGCTGCTAAAAACTAAAACTATACTGTGGGTATTGCAGTGTAACTTACAGCCTTGCTACCCAGAAAGAATAAAGGCAAGGGACTGTAGAGCTATTTGGATTGTTATTCAATTTCACCTTGGCCCACCAGACACCTGAACTTCAAATCTTTCTGTTTCACTGCCATGAACCCAACCAGGATGCATTACCAGGAGGATACGCAAACTAGCACATTCAGAGAAACTGGATTCTGGCATAAAACGCCCTATTCTTTGCATCCCTGTTCTTCAAAAGATTTCTCGGACAGGAGTAAGCTAGTTATTTCTCAGGACCCTGTTTGGCAGGAAAAAACACGCACCATTTTTTTGTTCAGAAGTCTTCAGACATAGTAAGACAACGTTCTGTTTAACGTGGTACCGAAACACTTATCTAATTTTCAGCAATTCTGAAACGTGTCAATGAGATGATACAAGATCTGACTCTGAGACAAGTGACATACACACGAGCAGGCTCCTACTGTACTAGCAGCCAGCTTCCACATCTGCCTTCAAGTCTGGTTTAAAGCTCACTTTTAACATGCAATAGGACTTCATTATTTGAACAACAGGTTTCAGAGCCAGGAAATCTGTACTCTGTAACTTACATGGCATGCTCTCAAAAAATAATCCATAAGCATCAAGTAAGTTGATATGTTTAAGAATAAATAAGAGATTTAACTACCTCGTTAGTGTTCCAGCGGTGCCTCTCTTTCGGTAAACTTGAACATTTTGGTAGACATTCAAGCAGCTTCTTCGGTAAAAAGATTTTTACATGACTGCCATTGCTGTTCCCATGATCATCTAGAAAGAAGAGGAGACACGTGATATATACACAGGCAAACGGAGGGGTTCCACCGGGAGACCCTCGCTATGGCAAGGCTTGGAAACCCACCAGGTCACCTGTCAAAGAGCAGGCAATTTGTCATTGCAAAGAATAATATGGCTTTCTGTTGAAACTGCACCTTTATTTCAGAAATATAAATACAGTTTAATTCCTTGTGGTTGTAAAGTTTGAGAAGCGCTTTGATGGATTTGTGCACAAGGAGCCCGTGTGTGTGCTTACCTGTGCCTATTTTAGCTTATTATTTCCCTCAGTGACAAATTTTACAAGCAATAGCGACAAAACGTTATAGAAGCTGTGACCACAGCGGTATGACCTGCCAGGAAAGTCGTAAATGAAGTTCACACTTGACAGGATTTGCAAGTAAATAAGCACAGAGCCCCAGTACCTGCTATAATTTTGTCAAGCTGCAGCAGAAATGCAACTCAAGGTCTATTAGTTCATTTAAAACTAAAACGCACTGTATCTGATTAAAAACAGGTTGCTTTTCTTTCCACGGACAGCTCAGAAAGTGAAGGTAGTTCCTTGCCACAAGAGTGAGGTAGAGGGATGGAAATCGTCCTACCTCGCCATATCCAGGCATTTCAAAAGCAGTAGTACTGAAGAATACTTTCTTGTTGCTAAAAATGTAGATGTTCCCTAAGAGACCCAGAAAACCCTAAAACCCCAACTACAGCCCACAGCAGTCCCCGAAGTATTAACTTGATTCTGTCTCTGTATCACCCCTCTAACCCCGCCTGAAGAACTGGAGCATCCACTCACCGTGCATGGCTATGGACCAAAGCAGTCCCCGCAGAGCAGGGAACCAGAGCAGCAGGCTGAGATACCCCAGCTACAGCACAGGAGCTTTACTAGTTTGCCTTCCAAAGCCCCCATCTCCGCTGCCTTCCACCACCCTCTCGCTCCACCTGACAGACACTGGGCAGCAGTACACAAGAAGTACACGTACTCACTGGCATTTTACCCTACTGAATTAACTGGCAGTCATTTCCCATTCGGAAGTGTACAGAAGAACAACATTAACTTTTTCCTTTTACACATCTAATTATTTTATGTCATTAAACAGATGCCAGCATCATGATAAAACTTTTCTGTGATTACGTAGGACACAGAGATTTCCTGTGACCTGCAGCAAACCAGAGAACCCGTCCCACAATCATCTGCAAAAGCGGGTGAAGAGCACAAACCAGCAGCTAGACATCCCCACTATTTTTAAAGCTTGATTATACTCTTGGATGTGTCAAGTTCAACAATATACATGCTGTTAAATCAACTACTCGTGCAAGCACAGCAGATGAGTTTACAAGATAAGCAGCGATGTGTATGATAAACGTGAGCTGCTCTATAATTTATGAGTCCTGCGCGCTCCCTGAGTTATTGGGAACTTTACTGTACGACTGCGTTAGACTAAATCAACAGGGTTGCTGGTTTCGTACTTCTTCCTGGGCAAACGAGCCATCAGGCAGTATTGATCTTTGCTGAACTGATACAAAAATCGTGAAGAAGGTCCTCTCAGTCATTTTTTTGTATACCATTCCAGGATTTCTAGCTTGACATTGACTATCTTAGACCGTGACTCCACAGGGCTTTTTGGCTGTCTCCTTCCCAGTCAATGTTCTGCACATCTGACAGTCACCGTCACTATTTCCCACCACCCCTGGCCGCCCAGAGCTTCACAAACACGCACATCGTGACACGCGGTCTTACCCACACAGACACCGGCTTGCTTGGGGCGAAGCACGGAGCCAGGCAGGGCCTCGCCGCGACGGCAGCCCCCAGCGATTCCCACCTGTATGTTCAGATCCACCATCCAATTTAGCTGGTACCTACCTAACATTCCCTACGTTCATTTTATACGGTTTTCATTTCTCATTCAAAATATTGCATTGCACTACATTCAATTCATTAAGGCGGCAAAGTATTTTACAGCACGCATTATTGCTTTTATCAGCCAAACTACATCCCCAGTTACATCTCATCAGCTTATTTTCCATGGGCACATTTTAATTGACATTAATTGTATTATTTCCCCTTACCTCGGTATCAGTCAAGTCCTCTATCATTCATTCCATTATTCTGCAGGGTTGGCAGACCTCTAATTATTCAGCTGTTTTATTAACTTTCTTCCACTGTCATCAATTATCAGTATTATTAATCCAGAAAGTGCCTATGGATAACAGAACCCTTAAAAATGTTTTGGTAGAAGTTATCAGAACTTGCTGACTCGAAACCTTCCAACTCCTCTGTCAGCACCTCACACTCTTCTGTTGTTATAGCAATGGAAGGTCATTTTCACCATCCCGTAACGTGACGACATCTCGCGTACGCTTCCCTTTTCTGCGGTTAGCAACGAAATTTCTTCTTTCCAGAAAATCCCCAACACGGAAAACAAGAACTGCGACCTGCCTCGACCTGACAGGCTGTTCATTAACGACTCCTCCAGCCACATGGTCAGAACGGCACATGATAACCATGCTGTGGGAAACAAATCCTAAGTTCAGTGACCTCTAGAACAGGTCTGACCTTGGAAAAGAACGACGCTGGCCAACCAGTGATGCGGACTAGGAGCAAGGAAGTGCCTGGCCCCAAACGACGCTCACACCCTCGCTTCAAGACTCCCTTACCCGCTGCCGGAATCATTCCACAGTCCTGCAGACGGAAATTCACCAATCTTTAGGGAGGTGGAGCAAAAAAAAAGAGTGGTTGTCCTTTGGCTTGAATGAAATCTGCCATTTCTAGTGACCCCCCTCACCTCCCATGGAGTCTTCTAATCGAGTCAGAGGAGTAAGAACCAACATTGCTCAGCATCCGCACCCAACCTACAGAGCAACCAGCACGTCCCAGAGGGAATATGTTACATTTATTTAGAACTAAAATTTCCTCTGTAGTTAAAAAAAGAAGCTGCAATTTCACAATGCTTATTTGATTGCACTGTGCAAATCCAGGCCAGATCTGTACTTGAACTTTCTTCCTCGTATTATTTTTTGCTATGGGTTCGACTTACGACATTGCGATCTGCAGACCCACCCAGTGTCAACAAAAAGTGCTTTTGCAAGCAATGCTGCACTTGCACAAGGAGGATTTGCCAGCAAAGCTGTATCGACATGGGGTTTTTTAGTGCAAAGCTGGCCACAGCTCAAAAACACTCCCCAAGGCACACACAGCCAATTCTGAAAACTACAATAAGGAAGCCATATACTAAAATATAGCAACTTACAATGCACCCTGCTATAATTCAGTACAAAACCCCCAAATTTAAGTTCCATTAGCAATCTTCAAGACTACTTATTAGCAAACGAGAAGCTTGTGTAAAATTAAGAAAGTACAACTATTATAAAGTTCATGGAAAGTTCCGTATTAATTATACCACATAAACCCTTCGTAATTTTATGGGTTTCTTCATGCTCCTTGCACTTTATCCTCCCAAGGGATGCAACATGGCCCATAAAACTTTAAAGCACACAACAGCAAATCACACAGTGAGTCTGTGCTCTACCTCTGCTCTCCAAACAATCCCCCCCCCCCCCCTTTTTTTTTTTCCATTTAACTGGTTCTTAAATCTTCGGAGATCCAGGAGGTGAATTTAGATCTGTAGACCATTTAACTACCACAGTTTGTCAATATAATGTATAATTGGAGAATACAGAAATGGCTGAATGGGTGTTGATCAACTGCTGATTTGCAGACAGTTCTATACTGGAAATAAATATAATGAATCAGCCTATAAAATTACAAACACAAGTTTTATAAACCCATTATTATAAAGTAATAACTTAGGCTTGGCCATCTTCTTAACTACCTTGTAAGAGAGGTAAAAGGTGTTTAAATGTTACAAATCGTCGCCTTCACATTAAACAAACAGCTGAAATCACAATGTCGTTATTAGCTACTGAAATGGAACGGGAGGGTGTCGCGCTGGCCATGGTGCCGCTCACCACACCACCGCTTACGCAGCGGAACCGAGCCCGTACAGTCCAGAAACGGCACCCACACGAACACAGTAAGCGTAGCTACCCGCCGTCATCCAGTCTTTGGTGTAACGCCGTATTAACCCATGCGCCAGTTCCTCCTCGCAAGGAAAATAACGAACGAGTGCCTTCTTTGAGAGAGCTCACTAGGGACTACCGCAGCGCCAAAACACTGGCCTTCCTCTGGAGCTCTGGTTCTCAACCCTGCCGGCTTTTCTGAAACCCTTCCCCTTCTCAAAAAGCTACTCTTCCAACAACTCTCTTTTCTAAAGATGATGTATGAAGACATAGACAGAAATGACAGCCAAGATCTCTAGCTTTAGACAAAAGATTTTTTTTTTTTTTACATATTTGTATTTCCCATGTATTGATTTGGCTCTGCTAGGTCCCGGCCATGGGAGGGGACATGGATTCCCCTTGAAGTTCTACAGTCTTTCACTCTCCGACCTCTGGACACAGATAAAACCAATAAATTCAGCCTGGAGGAATTAAATACAAAGAATTGTCCCCAGTCCAAACATTTGAAGGACTGGCATCCCATTTCTCACAGCTAAACTTTGTTCCTGGCATTTTTAATCAGTAAACAAGCAGCAGTATAAGCAAATCCAACAGCTTCTGGTCTGTTTTCTAGCAATATTTGGACGATTACAGTTGTAAATCTCCTGGCAACAAAAGCAGATTTCTAAATATCAATAGAGGGTGGCTAAGATGAGATAACCAGGTCCGGCTCTGCAGTGTCGCTTTCTCAGCACGGTTCCAGCAGCTACCAGCACCCAGCTTGGACACCGGCCAAGCATCACCGGTCCCGGTCCTCACCCAACTGATGCAGGCAGCCCCAAGGCAGCTGCGGGAGGATGCAAGGGAAGAGGGAACAGCCCAGTCAAAGGTAAAAAACGTGACACGGGAGCAAGAGAGGACAACACACAAACCAGCACGCGTGCAGCTGTGACTGTCGCCCGCGGGGAAAACGGGAGGAACGAGGAAAACCAAAA